ATTTAAATCCTCATTCTAACTAAATCACATCTTTAAAGGCCCTAAAAGTATAACCACATCTGAGGTATGAAGTGTTATGGTTTTGACATGAATTTTGGAGAGACACAATTCAGCCTATGACAAACATTAAGGCACATTAAGGCATTTGATTTTTCATATTCTGGGCTTCTGAAAAAAAATCAATTTGAAAAAATTCCAAAAAAGTTTATCTCAAAATGGGTATTAGTATTAGTATTTTTTAAGTATTAGTATGTCCCATGTAATATCTGGGACATTCAAATTTAATTAGGTATTAAATTGGAAAATTAGGATAGAGAACATGACAATAAGCTCCTTTTTGGGTCCTATACTCTATCCTATTGAATGGTCATATCCCTTGCATGGGAAACAAGAAAACCCTCCATTGAGCTTAGGATCCAAAAGCAGATAATTAGATTTGATTTGCATTTGGAATTTTGAGAGAAAACACCTTTTCACCGTGTCTTGTGACATAGGGACAGTCACTGGAATCAGAACAGTGGGCCACATCTAGACAGAAAGTGGGCCTGAGATAACCACCCACCTCCCTATCGCTGTAGCATAGGCTTTTCCCCCCTTGTAGTTCTAAATTGAAGATTTCCTCAACTATGCAAGGAAGTTGCTGGGTTCACTGAGTGTAGAGTGGCAAGTTTTAAATGGCTCAGGTTTGGGGTTAAAGTTTAGACATTTTTTCTGACAACACTTAAACAAGAGAAATTTTATATTTTATATAGAGGGATGGTTACTGATGTTGCCAGTGTGGCCAAAGGCAACCAAAAGCAGCCAGATAGGTCTGTTTCAGGAAAAGCCATGAATATGAATGTCACTGACCAAGGACCAAAAACTTCTCTCCAGATTCTTTGACAGTATGTTACCAATCCTTCTGCAGTTTAGAAACTCAACACCCTTAAAAGGAGAAGTCAAAATCAAAGGGAAGAACTGTGACGTTATTGTCAATCAAAGAGACCCAGAATTTAAATTGGAACTAGCTGAGTTTACCTTGAGTCTATCCACATTTCATTTCCAATTTAATTGCTTAGTAAATAAAAATTCTCCATCATATACTGTTAATTATCCCAACCTACTTCCAAAACCTATGTCCTAATAAAATTTCAACCCATTGTTCCATCATTTGAGATCACAATTATTTTGAATCACAATTATTCTGTTTAATTTTTTAGCTTTCTCTCCAAGAGAAACTCATTTCATATTTTAAACATTTGGTTCTTTGTCCAAACACAACCTATATAAGAGGTTTTCACCAAAGAGTTTCATCCCATCACATCCTCCTCTCTATCATCAAAAATAAATACACCCACAAGAAACACAGTGAAATTCCTAAGAAGGCTTCTTTTCTTGTGTCAAGAGCAGAACTAGAGACCAGAAAGTGAAATATTTTCACTAAGAAGCTTAAAGATCTAAACATTACAAAAGAAAACAAACTGAAAACATTCCTAATGCAGAAATACTGCCATCTAATGGCCTTATATGGTATTACAAATCAGTTTTTGGTTCTACTTAGTTCAAAGGCTAATATTTAAAAGTGCCATAGAGATTAATTTTTAGGCATTTGTATATTTTGTCATGTTTTTAAATTACTAAATAATGTTATTGTTATATTTTAAGCAAGTTATCTGGCCCAGAGAAGATATGTAGAATTGCTTACATTATATAAAAAGTTGAACATTCCATTATTTAATTTGGAATATTTAGAAAATCGTATTTTAAACCAATGAAAAAGAGGTCATTTCCCCCTCTCCCAAAATAAGAGTTTGTAAAGTAATGTTTTTTCAGGGCATATGTTAAAATGCAGTATTATAAGTATACTAAAGGTCATTTAATGCGTTATTTTGGAATCTAAAACTTAAGCCAAATCCTCACAAAGTTGTGATTTAGGTAAATAATGAATAATAAATAAAGTCATATCTAAGGTTAAAATTGCTAACTTATAGTAATATCTTTATTAAAAGATAGATCAGCTGCAATTGTGAAATTTGACTCTAGAAAATCAATTAAATTATAATATCTTATTTCTGAGTTTTTAAAAATTATAATTATAGTTATAAAACTCCCTAAATGGAATACTTAAAAAATACTAACACTGCACAAGATAGTATTACCATTATTCATAAGTGAAAGTACCTAAATTTAAAACTAATATTATGCATAAGCAAGGGGCCAGGGTTGTGGTTCAGTGATAAAGCACTTACCTAGCATGCATGAGGTCCTGGGTTCGATCCCCGACACCACATTAAAAAAAAACCAAATAAAATAAAGGTATTGTGTCCATGTACAACTAAAAAAAAATTTAAAAAATATTATGCATAAACTCTTTTCCTAAATTACCTAAATTCAAGAAAAAAGTCAACAAATAACATTAATGTCCTTTAGGGATCTTTCCAATGGCAAATACTATTTGCTACTTTTAACAAACCATCAACAATTAGTCAAATCTCATCGTTGATTGAGTCTAATCAGTCTGCCTAAACAGAACTACCACAAGATGGGTAGTTTTGGACATAATTTTTTTTTTTTTCTCATGAGACTGGAAGTCCAAGGTCAAAGCACCACCAGGATTGGTTTCTAGGGAGGACTCTCTTCTTGACTTGCAGACAGGTACATCTTCACTGCGTTCTCACAGGAAAGAGTGTATTTCTTCTACACTTGTGATATCTGGTGTTTCTTCCTGCATTTATAGGATTATGATCCTACAACCTTTTTGACCTTATTTAACCTAATTATCTCCCTAAAAACCCTGTCTCCAAATAAAGTCACATTGGGGGTTAAGACTTCAATGTATGAATTGTTGGGGATACAGGTCACTTTTGCACTGATAAATACAACATTCACTCAAAGAAACAAATTAATTGGCATATTCTATCTATCTAAGTAGATGGTTGAAGTTCTAGTTGATATAAAAATGCTGTGGTGTTTTATAAAAGGGTGTTAAAAGTTTGATGTTCAGGGAAAGGAAACATCTTTATTTGAAAATAAGCCTGATGAAACAAAGTGAATGTTCATATATAAGCTCAGGGTTCTGTAGGGAACGGGGTGGGGGGGGGAGAAAAACATGTTCTTAGAGATGTTTAGACTGAGGCATGAGATAGTGATCAAGAAAAGCTGAGTGGAGTACAATGCTCCAGAATCATTTGATCACATAATTTGCAAAATTCTCCCATTAAGTATAAATAATGTGGAATCTAGCACATGGGTTCTTAGGTGGACATTAGGAATATAAGAAATGTAACAACTGTTATTCAGCAAGTAGATATGACTGTGATGAATTTATCTAAGCATTAACTGCAGTTCCAGGACCACCTGGTAACAGACTGAGGGGTCTTTTCTTGAAGAGTGTCTATGTTCCCTCCCCTGCCCCAAAGAATTTCCTGCCCCCAGTTTAGCACACTGTTGGGATGGGGGTGTCATAAAGAGAAGTTTTTACTATGTCATCAAGAAACAAAACGTTTACACTCTTCCTTCTGGAAATGAGTATACTAGTGCATTTATCTTACAAAGACAATCTCTAAAGTGCCCATTCCTATAATATAATAAGATATCCATCTAGGAGACTCATGGCCTTCAATGCATAGCCTATCTAGAGGTCAGGTTTTGCTATACACTTCATTGCAGATGTCAAAAAAGGAATGTGAACTCCTCCAAGGCCAAGAGACTCAAGAAAAGGAAAATGGGTTAAATCTATGAAACTATCCAGTTTTTTAGTTCAGACAGTAAAGTGGTTGTTGGGCTCTTATCAGGGAACAGCTCAATCTTCTTGAGAACTCTTTTCCTATTCCTATTTCAATTCTAATTTCTGAGAGTTTTGTTTTACTTTTAAGGGTTAAGACAATCAAATGAGTCCAGTAGGCATTATAACCATCCTACTCAATTGCACTATTTATTGCACTAAATTAATCCCTTGGCTGTTCTATTAGCCTCCCAAGAGTTAATATTTTGAAGGTTAAATGTGATTCAAAATCATTTATATTTTCATTATGTCATAACTATTGATTTTCCCCACTGGATTAAGTGTCCCTTTAAATTTTAAATAGAAGCAGTATAAAAACAATATATTTGTATTTTATTTTTTAAATGAAGAGATGTATAGTACAAATCTTAATGTCTAGTCCTTCACATAGAAGGGGTTTCTGAGATAATTAAATATCCGACGGCATCCATTGTACATAATGAATTAACCCTTCTCTACCTATAAAATACTAACTATATACAATATTGGAAGAAGTTAAGCAAAATGTCACTCAAATCATTTTGTGCTCCTTAAGTCTTAAAACCTTGCTTAAAAAATAAGTCTCTATTGTAGTGTGTTCTATATACTTTTATGACGTTTCTGAAGTCCTTTCATAGAATTCGTTACGATAAAAAATAGGCTCATCAAGTCACAACTAATATTAACCAGTGTCATTTTGTAACATACGGTGGGGGGTAAAAGGTGTTCGTTTTATTACTTAGGGAACCATAGAATATAAAGCTTTTGATTCAGCCCACCATCAGAGATCATGTGGGTGGAAAGTCCTACCAAACTGCAGGCTAACTGGATCAGAGGACTATTAGTGGATAAAATTTTCTCCACCATCTTATTACACTATTCTGCACACAAGAATAGAGGGTCAGGTTTAGCTAGGATCTGCTGGTTTCCGCAGCACCTTGAAGATGAAAGGGAGTTTTGATTAATTCTGCCATAACCCTTAAAAGGTTACGTGCCAACAGGTTCTTGGCTGCGCTCCTCAACTTCTGCAGTAGTGGCTCCGCTCCAGGTGTCCTCCGGTCTAAAGGACTTCCAGGCCAGGGACCACGCAGCCGGAGCCAGCTTGCAGGTGTCAGAAGAGCCACCAGCGTGAGCTCAAGCTTGGCGGGGCACCAGACGCTGGCCGCACGAGGGGCGGGGAGAAGCGTGTCCAGGGGCGGCGCTCTAGGACTGGGGAAGTCGGAGTGGCGCGGCGCGGTTCCCGGGGCAGCCCCGCCCCGCCCCGGCGTGTCCGGCTGGGTCCTGTCCCGTAGCGTCTGTCCCCGCGCTCCTCACACCCTCCCCAGCTGAGGCGTTCACCATTGTTCCCAGCGCAGCCATGGCTCAGCACTTCTCCCTGGCCGCCTGCGACGTGGTCGGCTTCGACCTGGACCACACTCTGTGTCGCTACAACCTGCCCGAGAGCGCCCCGGTGAGTGGCGCGGGCTGCCCGGAGCGCAGGGCGCGCAGCGCGCGCAGCCTCCATGGCGCCTGGGGCTGGAACTCCCTCCCGCGGCGGTGGGCCTGCCGCCGCTCGCCCGGGCGCAGAGCTCCGCCCCCAGCGCGAGACCTGGCGGAAGTGTGCCTCCAGCTCCCTACCTACGGGAAGGATGTGCGGAGTTTGAGAGGGGTTTGGGAAAGAAGGGGAACTGGAGAGGCAAATTCTGCAAGATCTGCCAGGGAAAACGGTTTCTAGAGCGAGCAAGGGAAGGGCCGAGGAGACTTAGGTGTCTTTACGGATTCCTGGCCTCTTTGCGAGTCCCAAGCACCAACTGGGCGTGGGCACCTGGTTTGGCAATTTAATTTTCCGTGGCTGCGGTTTAACTTTTGCATGTCCACTCGATCACCTATCAGAGTTTAAGCAAAGTCGCAGAGAGACTGTGTAGTGAATTAGAACACCGAGCCAAGAAAATCATTAAGACTTTAGCCCTGATTTCGCCTTTACTAAGAGACCATAATAAGTATTTATTACACCTGCCCCATGCCCCACGCACTTTGAATAAGTCCTAATCCTAACATCATGCCAAGTTTGACTTCTCACTTGCCCAGGAGGAAGGGGGAAGTGGAGTGCCTGTATTAATGGTCCTCCCTCCCTGTTCCTTTGACTTTACAGGAAACAAATTTTGAAAAATTAACAGGATTTTTTGTAGCGCACAGGGATCCCTTAGACTACATAGCTTAGTACACCAACTCTGCCGTGACTAGCTCTATGACTTTGGGCAAGTTACTTAACCCATGATCCTCAATTCTTCCATCTTTAAATGGGGCTAATAATTGGGTTTACCTCAGAAGATTTTTGCAAGGATCAAGTTGGTTGGCATACGTATGTAATGCTTAGATCAATCCCTGGAAAAAAAAAAAAAAACAAGTGTTTGCTTTTATGGTTTCCACCCAAACTATTTGGAAACCTCACCTTGTATGGGTAGGATTCCAAGTTACTAGTGCAGACAGCAGGGGCTGTTCATTATAGTCATGTCACCGCCCCAGTTAGATATTCCAAGGTCAAAAACGAGTGGCTACCTGAATTATTCCTGTGTTTTCTCTATGCACAGATGCTTTAAAAAATGTACTTTTCAAAACTGTTCCTGCACTTTTCTGCTTTCTTATTGTATATATTTGGTTTCTTTAGTCATATTGAGAGTTAGAAGACTTTTCTTCCTTTTTCTTTGGGCACTCATTCCCTTAGGTCTTTGATTTCATATTTTCTCTTTCTCTGTGCCTTTGAAATTTCTGGTCATAGTCATATTTCTATGTATTTCCTCTCTATTCACCTTCATTTACAGGGGATGTTGTTAAACCACTGTAAGGTTAAGAGCCAATTTTGTGCATGCATGATCATAAAATTTCAGTTAAGAATTTTTTTTTACTGTACTACAAGATATCCTTTACTACAAGCCTTGAATATAAGTGATGTTTAGTGGTTGAAAATAGTAACCTACTGAGTTTGGGATCATGTTTGGTATTTAAATCTTTTATTAAAGTCCCACATTATCCTGAGCACCAAGATGGTGTCAGGGATACGGAGGTAAACTACAGGTAGGCCTTCAGTGCCTGGTGGGCAGAATCCTCCAGTAATAAGCCAAAGATGGTGAAAAGCTACAGTCCCTATGATGAAGACAGTTTTTCCTGGGTCTTGCTACTTGCTTCTGCCTATGCCTGGGGTGCCTTCCTCACAGTGACTCTTTATGCAGTCAGGTCTGATTTTAAATACTGTTCCTTTTGGGAAGCCATCCTTAGCACCCTACCACCCTGCAATTCACCCCTTTACTGCAGTCTCACCTCCAGCTTTCCATAGAACCCAACTTCCCATAGCACTTACCACAGAATTTTAACTTTTCCTGTTTACTTGTCAGGTCTTCCCCAGGTGCTTAAAGTGATACCTCCTCCAGGGCAGACTGTGTGACAGTTTAAGAACAGTTTACTTTTTGTTCTGTGTGCTAACTTTGTGCTGGGCATACTTGGCCCAACCAATAATTGTGAAAAGATTGAATAAATAACACACATTCTAATAAGTAGTTATAATAGAGCCACCATTCTAATAAGCATTTTGCATGTATGAGTTGATTTAGTCTTCACAGAGTCCCTGGAGCTAGGTATTATTGCCATAGTCAGTACACAGAGATGAGAACTACGAGGCACAAAAAGGTTAAGGATCTTTCCAGAGTTTCCCAGCAAGGTAGTCTGGCTGCGGGTTTCTGCCTCTCACCACCATGAGGCAGTGGGGGTGGGGAGGTGGAGAGAAGTACTTCAGAGGGAGGAAATACAACCAAAGCAAAGACCTAGAGAGGAGCAATAGCATGAACTGCTAGGTGCTGTTTAAAAGGCGAGGGTTGTAGAAGTCAGCAGTGGTCTGGTCTTAGGGAGCTGCAGAGTCTCTTCCTGAAGTCTCCTAGGCATTTAGCAAGTGCAGAGTATTGTGCAAATGCAGACCTGAGTGTATCTCTTTACCTGGCGCCTCAGGAAAGGCATCCTGGGAGAGATGATGGATCACACCTATATCTTGGATTTGCACACAGAGGTCTAATACCAGGCAGTTCACCAAAATGTTAGGAGGAAGGTGTCTCAGGCAGCCAGTAAAGTGTGTGCCCCTCCTGAAGGAGCAGCCACACTTGACTCCTACTGGTATTAACCAAGAGAGGCTCAATCTTGCCAGGTCTTCTATTTTTTTCTTTTTTAAGGTTTTGGGGCAAGCTAGAAATTTGAACTTGTTTGAAAGGTGTTCAAATGCTACCTCCCCCCACCCCATGCACACACACAACAGCATTGCTGAGTTGCCAGATTTATCAAAGAAAAATCTAGGATACCCAGTTAAATTCAAATTTCAAATGACGAGAACATTTGAATGTCCTAAATAGTAAATGGGACATTCTTATGGAGGGAGCTATTTGCTGTTCATCTGAAAATCAGATTTATCTAGGTATTCTTTATTTTACTTGGCAACCTTAGGTGGGAACCACACATGATTTGTGGGCTACCTATGGCCCACAAGGCACCAATTTGTACTTACTGCATGGAGTGTGTGTTCTTATTAGTCATGTGAGACTGAGGAAGCAAGTGGCAATTCTAGGCTATGGGAGGAAGTGATGGAGGCTTGAGGCCTGAGCCCTGGAGGCTTCTTAGGTGACTGGCATGGTCCAAGAATAAGCTGTAAGAACCAAGACTTTAGGACTAGAATAGGGGTTTCAAGGTACAGATTCTTCTGCTTTTCTCAACACTGTCTTTCTCTGCTCCTTGCACATTGCTGCATTATCTCCTGTTAATGGAAATGTTCCCTCCACAAAGGAGGTAACAGCCCTGGATGCCCCTGGTGACAGCCCTGATGGACAGGGACACTTTTTCTCAAGAAGGCATCTGATCATATCTTACACTGATCATCAATTTCTCATCAAAGGGTGAGAAATTCCTCTTACCCGAGACTTTAAGTGCCATGACCTGAAGCAAGTCTAATGGTATGCAAAACTGGATTTGAGGTGTAGGGAAACTCTGTTTAGTGTTCAGGCAGCGTGTACAGGCAGGTGAACTGAAACAGGCTATGGCAAGAATAGGCAAACTCTACAACTCTGGTGTTTTGTTCTCATCTTTTTGATTAGCACACAACTGATAATAATAGCAAATACTTCAATTGGATTTGCCCATATGTCAGACACTGCACTAAGCACTTCATGCCAGTTAATCCCATGGCTCTAGTCTCTGAAGGCAGGATCATGATGTGTACCTTTTATTGTCCATAATACTTTGTACCTCAATCTGATTCAATGCATTTTTTAAAATGTGACAGGCATTTTAATGATAGAAATTGTTGATTTGATAGGAATGTGTCTATGCCATGATAATTATTATTTTTAAAAATATTTTTGTTAGTTGTTTATGGACCTTTTTATTTTATTTACTTATTTAAATGTGGTGCTGAGAATCGAACCCAGTGCCTCACACATGCTAGGCAAGCTCTCTACCACTGAGCCACAACTCCACCCCATGATAGTTATTTTTTAACAGATTGAATTGTTCTGAAGATGGAACAGGAAAAAAATAAAGGGAATTCAGGATATCACCAGACTGTGGAAATGAAAAGATTCTATCACTCAACAATAATCAAGATAGTTCATTTATTCTGTCTTTAAGATTTTAATTATACATAGGTCATCAATTCATAAGTTAACATGAATGTTTCAGTATAGCAAAAAAGAAAACTAAAGAATGAAAAGTAAACATATTTAAAAATGTAGGAGCTCTGAGTGTGGTGGTGTATGCCTGTAATCCTAGTAGCTCTGGAGGCTGAGACAGAAGGATTACCAGTTTAAAGCCAGCCTCAGCAAAAATGAACTGCTAGAAGTTCACTGTCTCTAAATAAAATATAAAATAGGGCTGGGGATGTGGCTCAGGGGTGGAGCACCCCTGAGTTCAATCCCTGGTCCTCCCCCCATCCCTGCCAAAAAATGCAGGAGCATCCTGAGTTTATCCCAAATGAAGAATTGATGCTAGCTGGAATTCAGTTTCTTCAGCAGCTGTTTTTTTCTTTGTATATTTATCAGTTTTTAACAGTTGAGAGTGGCCCATATTTATTTCTACTACATTTTTTTTTGCCTTCCTCCCATGCTCTTTGCTTCTCTTTCAGTAAAAGCAAATAGAGGAAATGGTTAGAATTTTTAATATTTTGGAGAATCAAAATAATCTTGCTGTCTGAATAAAAATGAAGAGAAAAAGTTTAGGAAATATGGAAGAAACCATGCAAGTCTTTAGCAAGGAATTGAGAATATTCTGTTCCCTCCCTCCCTCCCTCCCTCCCTCCCTCCCTTCCTTCCTTCCTTCCTTCCCAGGACCCATATCCCCCACCCATTTTATTTTTTATTTTGAGACAGGATCCCCAAAGTTATTCAGGGCCTCACTAAGTTGCTGAGGCTGGCTTTGAATTTATGATCTTCCTGTCAGCCTCCAGAGCTACCACGCCTGGCATCTACTTTTATTTTTATTGATGCATTATAATTATACATAATAATGGGATTTATTGTTATATATTCATAACACACAATATAACCATATAATTTGATCAGTATCATTTTCCAGTATCCCCCCTTTCCCTCACTTCCTCCCTCTCTTTGATCCCTCTCCTCAACTCTATTGGTCTCTTCTATTTTCATGAGGTCCCTTTTTTATTTTTTTTTCTTTCTTTCTACATAGAAAGAACATACAATCCTTGACTTTCTGAGTCTGACTTATTTCACTGAACATGATACTCTCAAGTTCCACCCAGTTTCCTACAAATGACATAATTTCCTTCTTTGTGGCTGAATAAAACTTCATAGTGTATGTGTGTGTAAAATTTTATTGGTTCTTTTTATTTATACATACAAGGAGGTTGAGGGAGAGGGAGGGAAGAACAGTAGAATGAATCAAACCTAAATTTCTTATGTACATACATTAATATACCACAGTGAACCTCACGATAGTGTATATCCATAAGGCACTAATTTAAAAAAAAGCAACTATAAGTAAATAGCAGAAAGATCAGTAGAGGGAAGGGAATGGGGAGTAGTGAAGAGGGGAGGAAAGGGGAAGTACTGGGGACTGAATTAGGGCAATTATATTCCATGCTTTCATAATTATGTCTAACTAAAAATACATTTTTAATTTATTTTTAACAATATAGTGAATATCCATAAAATATGTGAGTCAGTGGTTTTTAGTACTCTAGGGGCTTCAGGAATTTCTTAGATGCCCTTTCCAACCCTGTACGAATCCTGGGTGGTTTTAGGAAACAGCCCCTATGGTTCTGAGTCACCTCCAGGGTTGAGAACTGCTGCAATATTGTGTTGAAGTGTTGTGAGTCTGTTAACCGTTGACCTGGATTAGGGTCACTTTGCATTGGATGGGAATACTTGTTTAGTCATTTTAATTAGCTTTATGACAGAGAACAGCCCTATTTGACTGGAGCCTTTGCTTTCTCTATTCCCATTTCTTAACACATATACTCCACCCAAACTCCCAACTCCAGCTGTGTGCAGGCCCCTCAGTTTCTGCACTGGCTTGCTCTCCATCCTCTCCTGATTCACCCAACTCATTGCTGTATCTTCCAGGTATTCGTGTAAGCATCATTAACACAAAGAGGCCACTCATTTGCACTATACCTTTTCTCTCCTTGTGCATAACATGCTCTCACAACCAACCGTGGGTTAACATCTATAGAAGAAGGGCCATATTGTTCATTGTGTCCTTTTGGACACAGCTCAGTCACACCCAGACCACTGCCTCAGGTTCAAATACATCTGATTCAGACCTGCAAATACTCTCCTGAGGTAGAGGGTAGGGCCTATGTGTACCATCATTCACCTTTTGTCCACTTTTTGTTTGGTATATGCTGTCGTTTAAAAATTGAGCCAGTTCTATAAACAAACAATGGGTGTTTCACTCAGATATCTAGGACTTGCTGAGAAATCAGATCCATCAGAAGTCAGCATTTACCATTGTGCTTGCTTCCAAAGGCTTACTTTGTTCTTCTTATTCAGTTGTTTTTCTTTTGGTGGAGAAATGAGAGAGATTTCCTGTATCTAGTAGAGGCTCATTACTTCACAATTCCTCCTTCAGATTATCTGCCTGGTTTCTATGTGCATTTCACTCTGAGAGGCCCCTGAGAGGGAGTCTTCCCAGCAAGGATGGAAAGAAAGGACAGATGTAATGAGATTGGGTAACATGTTTTTTGTCTTGGTGATGTGTTAAGTGAATTGCAAAACTTTGTCAAGACTTGATTATGATCTCCAGTCCATTAGAATTTGGGAGTAAGATTAATAATCATCCTTGGTTTTATAATTGTATACTGATGGTATAATTTTAGACAGGATAGCTGCCTGGGGCTCACAGGGCTTGATAAATTGCTCGTGAAGGGGGATTATACTGCAGAATTTTATAATTACAGGTGTGTTCCTCCTACCTACTCCCATTAGTGATTTCATTCAATTTTCATCTGTGAAATTTAGAATGAACAGTGAATTTCATGTTTAATCTCTCTTTTTCCTTTCCTTATTTGCAGCTCATTTATAATAGCTTTGCTCAGTACCTAGTCAAGGAGAAAGGGTATGATAAGGAATTGCTTACTGTGACCCCAGAGGATTGGGATTTCTGGTAAGTCTTTTCTTTTTCTTCTTCTTTTTTAATGTCTGCACATTCCCTGTGGTTTTTAATTATTGCTGATAAAATTTTACTGTTTCCTCTTCTATAAAGGTAGAAAGCAAAATGTGAAATTGAGTCAAAAGACAAAATGCCTTCTACACTAAGTTTTGCATCTAATGAGCTAAAATATTTTCTACTTTAAACACATTTAGACTTGCTTAATTAGATCTGAAAAGAAACTAAGAGCTTAGGTGACTAATTCAGATATGGTTTGTTATAATAAAAATTTTCAAAGTTTATTAAGAACTAAAATTTGCATCTTTGTAAAGAATTTGACTTATTATCCTTAAAATAAAAGAACAGTAAAACAGGAGGAATCATCATGTTTTAAGTAACTTCACTAGAACTTTTGGTTTTGGTAATTTGGTTGGGCAAACCTGCCTACCTTTTATTGCCCCCCTTTATTCCTGGTTTAGGATTCTCGGCTTCCCAAAGCCTCCTATATCTTTCTTCCTCATTTTAATGACACAAACAAAAATCATAAGCCACTTGAAATTGTTCTTCGAGGTTGAGTAGTAGCACACACCTGCAATCCCAGTGGCTCTGGAGACTTAGTCAGGAGGATCACAAGTTCAAGGCCAACATCAGCAACTTAGCAAGGCCCTAAGCAACTTAGCAAGACCTTGTTTCAAAACCAAAAAATAAAAAGGGATTATGGCTCAGTGGTTAAGTGCCCCTGGGTTAAACCCCTGGTATCAAATAAATAAATAACAACAAATGAAGAAGTGAATGAATGAATAAATAATTCAGTTTGAAATTAATAGTAACACTAAAACACTAAAATGCATGTATAATGTTCTTATATCATACATTCCTATGTTATTTGGTTAGTCTTTTGATATATCCCTTAAATTAAAGGAAGAAAACAAACATCCTAATATATGAAACAATTGGCTTTGGAAATTAGAAAGAATGTAAGTAATGCTGCTATAGCAGCCTTTGATTTTAGTAATCTCTTGGTGTTTGCAGGTAATTATACCTCCTTTTATTATTTCAAATAATAAATCTATACTCATTTTTCTCCCCAGATCCCACAAGGCTTTTATAGTAAATAACTTAAAACTTCATATCTGACTTTATTTTACTTGGTTTCAATAATATGGCTTGCCCAGAGGGGACCTAAATTAAGACAAATCCTAAAGAAAGTAGTGAGAAGTTAACTTGTAGAAAACAGATCTGTGTGTGTGTGTGTGTGTGTGTGTGTGAGAGAGAGAGAGAGAGAGAGAGAGAGAGAGAGAGAGAGAGAGATGTATTTTAAATAACATTTGCACATTTTAACAGGCATAGGAAAATTTTCGGGTTATTTTTTTTCTCTCTCTCTTTTGAGTGTCAGATTTGTCTTTTCTAAAACCTAAAGGTTTTACAAACTAAACATACTGCCCTTTGCCTATTTAACAGTTTTCCTTATATGCTTCTTTTTGTGATAGATATTTAATTTTTAATTCTTGGATTTTTTGTTTGATTAACATATCATTTGCCTGAGCAAGAGAATCCCTTTGTAACATTGTAACTTTTGAATAATATAGATTATTATTTCTTAAGTTAGCTAAATATATGAATTGATTAACAGTCAAACTTTCCTTAGTTGCAAGGGTTTGGCATTGGATCTGGAAGATGGGACCTTCATTAAACTTGCGGATAATGGCACTGTGCTCAGGTAATAAAATTTAGTTGTGAAATTAAAATCTTACTTTCTCCAGGATACAGTATTACTATACAGTATTACTGTATGATTCTTAAGGTATGAGTTAAATAAAAAGTCACTTTTATTGTAGTTAATCAGATGACAGATAATTTGTTTGCCTGTGTGTCTTTGTATGAATTATTGATCCATTTAAATATAAATCTGTAAGCTTTAGATTTAAAGGTCTAGCTCCTTTAAATTTAGTTTGAAGTATTTGCAGGAAATACAATAGAAAATTAGTAACTTGCTTCATCTTATTGACCACCCCTTATTGCAAAAGAGCTCGGGAATTATTCTGTTTTAGCTAGGTGTGTAGGTGCCTAGAATAAAACAATTATTCTTTTGATTGAAGAGGAAGGGGGAATGGATATTGGGTAGGGATTGGTGGTCTATGTATATTTCCTTTCTTCCATTTATCCAAGTGTACATCATTCATCATGCAGGGCTCATGTTGCATCCCAGCTCCTTCTGGAAGTTTTTCTAGACTCCTATAGTCCTCACGAACCTTTCCCTCTCTTCAATAGTCAGTACTAACTTCCTATTCTCCTCTCATCTCTGAGTGTACCCAACCCTTTCAGGTGCTAGTAACCATGTGGAAAGCAGTCATGAAGTAGCTGCTGTCCCTGCTTTTGAGCCTTTCAGAGAGCACTAGGAATGGGCATCTGTTTTTTACCAAGTACTAATAATTAGATCACCATGGCCATAAAGTTGTGCCATTTATTACATATGTCAACCCAACCAGAGTCAAAGAAGACTTGGAGCCCAGGAACCCTTGTATATATTCTGTCTTTGAACATATCATTCTTTTTGCATGACATGACTTCTTTCTCAGTCTTCCCAGACCTTCCCCAAGGTGCATCTAATTACAGCAGGTGTGGCCTCGCCTCTGATTATTTTGTAATTTATTTGCGTAAGTTTTTTTCTCAGGTGACTAGAGATAGTGTGTACGCTTGTATGTATGCATGTATACATACATATATATAGACATGGCACAGCTTTGATCATGGTCACTTTGGTGTAGTGTTTTTGGCTACCTTCAGCCATTCTCTCACTGTTGTTAGTCTGTCAACCTCCGCCAGGGTCTGTCCTTCCCTATTCAAGTTCTGGCTAACCTGGAGTTTCTTCTGCACTTCTTAGCTTATCTTCTTGATACCTACTTTCTTCCAACAATGCAGTTGCCTTCTCATGAAATTTCCCATTCAGGATTCCTCCACATTAACATATAGCATTCTAAAACATGAATCTTTTTGTAAATAAAGGCCCATCTGTGGTTTCCCCCCATTTGCGTTTTTTTTTTTAATAATTATTTTTTAGTTACAGGTGGACACAATATCTTTATTTTATTTTTATGTGATGCTGGGGATTGAACCCAGTGCTTCACGCATGCTAGGCGAGCCCTCTACCTCTGAGCCACAACCCCAGCCCCCATTTGCTTTTTTTATTCCCTTGTTTCCTTTCATATCATCTTGCTACTACAATATAGTACCAAGATAATGATAGTGGTATTCCCTATCATTATAATTTCTCATAATAAACTACAAAGAATATCAACTGTTTTATTCCCTACAGGAATTTCTCTTAACCAGGCCCAGTTGATTCAAAAGCAGTATTTGAGGCATGCACAAGAGCTACTTTCTTGTCTTGTTCTCTTTTGCCTTGGTCCTCTTGCTACATCCTACCATACTTTGGCTGTGTTGTGTCCTTGAGTGGGCAGGTTGCCCTCCCTTATCTCTGCAGTACCATGTGCTCACAGTCATCTGCTGTTGGTGCCAGGTGCCTGGTGCCTCCCGCGCCTCCTGTGGCTTGGTGTAACTTGTGCTTTAACTCTGGTACTTGCTGTTCTTCCTTATTAGTACCAGAACCAACTTCCCACCCAGTCCACATGGTCGTTTTCTAATTGTTTGAGTTATGTTCATCTCATTATTTCGTGAAACAACAGCTTCTCTATGAAAAAGTGGTGGGTTACACAGTGTTGCCCTCAGAGCAAGCTGCTCCTAATCACTTGCTATTGGATACATTAAATGGAGGAAGAGCTACAGCTGTCAGTAGAAATGCCTTATAGAATTGTAAGCAGGAAGTCACCCAGTTGAAAACAGGAAAAAAAAAAAAACCAAAACTTTTGATAGCTCTGGCAGAAGCTGGGGTCAACAACCTCAGTTCTAGAGGAACGGGCATTCAAAGGAGCCTTAATGAGCAGTCTGCATTATCTCCTAAATCTAGGGCAAGCCGTGGCACTAAGATGATGACTCCAGAGGCCCTGGCAGAGGCATATGGCAAGAAGGAGTGGAAGCATTTTGTGTCTGACACTGGTGTGCCTTGCCATTCAGGTAGGACCCAAATGGGCAGCTGTACCACCCACACCCCTTTTCTTTTGGAACCTGAATCTGCAATGTGAGGATATAGAGAAGACCCTCCTCTGTGTCCTTTGCTGGGCACAATATATAAGGAACAACCTCGACTTCATAACAGTAGGATGGATTTCTTTTTCTAGATATGTCTGATTTCCTTTTGGCAGCTGGTTCAGAATGCTGTTAGCAGCATTTCACACTGTTTTAAAATTTAATTGATGCTCCTTTTACTTACACTTGTCTGGGGTAGAAAAGATAGATTAACACTTAGCAATAATATATTCCTTAGCCATACTGTATTTTTTATCAATTTTGTCGTGCGCTCAGTCCTTGGTTTCCTTTCTCCAGCTCTCATGTCTCTCCATATTCACATTGCACACCACTTCTGTTTTCCGGAATTCTCTTCCTTACTTTCAATTCTAGTATCTGCTGCCTTTTTATTTTCCTGTGTATTTACTGGTGCTGGGGATCAAATGCTAAGCAAGTACTCTATCACTAAATTATACTCTCAGCCCTATTTTACCGCATTTTAAATGATTTTTTCACTTTTTTCTTTTCCAGTGTCTTTAACAAGCATCATTAAGACTAATTGTAAAATGATTTTTCAAAAAATTATTTCCAAACTTTTATGTGCATAAATTAAAAGGGAATGGTTAAAAAAATTTTTTTTAAATAGATAAACCTTATTAAATATTTTTGTGCTATTTTTCATTTGTTCTAATTTTTTTTTTTTTTTGCCATTTTGTTCTTTTTCTCCCACACTACAGTGTTAAAAATGTACCTTTCTCCTTCAGAAAGTGTAGTAACCAGAAATTAGTTGCAATTATTGATTATTACTACTGGGTTTATTTTTTTATATTTGTCATTGTTTGAGAAGTAAGTATGTGTTTTTGTAGTGATTGAATGTGTTAGGAAGTATACATGTTCATAATAAAATAAGTTGATATGAAAAACAGACTTCATACTGGGGTTAGATATAGAATGTTTTCATACATCTTGAGTCAAATTGAGTGCAAAACCTTTTACTCAAAATGATGATGGAGAGCTGCTGTTATGTCTCCAGAGTTTAGCAATTGTAAATAAGCTTGTCCTTTCTCCCAGAAAAGCTAGGCACATAGCTAAATGTTTCTTTTGAAAATTTATTCAGAAAGTGGAGTATTTTTTACTGCTGTGTCCACTAGAGGGTGGTACCTCCTTGAATCAACATCTCCCTCTGGTGCTTACTTTACCCCAGAGCATCCTAAGGATGGTCTTGGAGTTTATCTACTGTAAATTGGGTTGGTTGGTTTGGAATTTCCCATCCAAGTGCCCAATGCCCAGGGAGTCAGGCTGTGACACATAATAAAGGAAAGGCAACATAATAAAGGAAAGGCAATGTCTTTAAATAATAAAACTTTGTTTTAATGTTGAAACATGAAAGAAGAAAAAAAAGTCCTGTGATTTCATAACCCATTTGCACTTTGTTTACATTAAAAAAGCAATCAAGCATATTGTCGATTAAGTATTGTAAAACTAAGGGACACTAGGCACTGATTCCACTGAAACTTCTGAGGAGATACACAAAGAATACCTCTTAAGAGTTGTCAGTCTGGGAGACTGGAAGCTGTGATCTTCATTCACAGGCTCCTAATCCCATTAGTTGAGGGTGGCCAAGGACCTTTAGGATAAAGCAAGTAACACTATTGTGTTTTAGGTGGGTTGATGCTGTTCAGCATAGCTGTGGCTAGACTCAGATGTGGGTCCCAGGGATATGACATGGGCCATCAGTAGTATTGTTCAGGGACAGCAGATCCAAAAGTGGCATATGTAAGAGTTCAGGTTTAATTCTACCCCAAGGCCATACAGAATAAATTTAATGCCTCTCTTCCATGAGATCCTGGAGTGAGTGTACCTGTCCTGTACTCCTGCATCTTCCTAAGACAATCTACCATGTACTTACAGGGCATAGTATTAATTTATCAGCTTACCCTGGCCATTCTTGTATTGCACTGAAATTTGCTGGCATACCAGCTGAATGCAGTACTTTTGATGGACCAAGCACTGGTGTGGAAAGGCACTATTTGTGGACCTCTTCACAGAGCTATTTGTTTTGGAATTTAGTGTCACTGATAGCATAAATTGTGACTTCTTCCTATTCCATTTTATATTTGCAATATATCCTGCGTATAGTTTTCATATTCTTTAAGACAACTCAATTTTTTAAATAAAATGCTTAGTTTGTTAATTTCCTGTGTATTTATTGGTGCTGGGGATCAAATGCTGAGCAAGTACTCTATCACTAAATTATACTCTCAGCCCTATTTTACCATATTTTAAATGATTTTTCACTTTTTTTAACCAATGTCTTTAACAAGCATCATTAAGACTAATTGTAAAACGATTTTTCAAAAAATTATTTCCAAACTTTGATGTGCATAAATTAAAAGGGAATACTTAAAAGATTTTTCTAGATAGATAGACCTTATTAAATATTCTTTGTGCTACTTTTTCATTTACTCTAATTTTTTTTGCCATTTTGTTCTTTTTCTCCCACACTGCAGTATTAAAATGTACTTTTCTCCTTCAGAAAGTGTAGTAACCAGAAATTAGTTGCAGTTATTGATTATTACTACTAGGTTTATTTTGTTACACTTGTCATTGTTTGAGAAGTTTGTTTGTGTTTTTGTAGTGTCATGTTTGTAGATGTCATATTTTACCTTTCAGATAGTGCCCTCAGAGCTTAAACTAAATGCTCCTTAACAGACATGGAGCCTGTATTAGTGCCATTTTGAATTGAAATGGGGGCTGTACAAATAAGTAAACCACAGTCCATTGTCTCTTCCCTCAAATTTCTTTGTATCCTTCATGTATGAGGCATTAATTTGTTTCCAATTTTGAAATTTTTGTGTGTGTTTTCTTTTTTTAGGAAAATATTATTTTTATGATAATTACTTTGACCTGCCAGGAGCTCTTCTGTGTGCCAGGGTGGTGGATTCCTTAACAAAGGTGAGTGAACATTGAATTTAAAAAAAAAATATCTGATATGTGTTCAGTCATAAATCAGATGATTTATCATATGTAACTTTTGAGTTGAGATTTTATTTACTTTATTCTTTGTGGTTTCAAAGGTGACCAAGAAAGAAAGACATGGCAAATTTGGTCAAAATAGTTTTGGGAAATTAAATAGCAGTGGCCGTTTTTTTTCCCCCCAGGGAACATAAATATGTTCTCCAGCAGGGGGTGCAAAAGTCTAGAAAAAGAAAATACAGAACTGATCTGAAAGAATATTTTCTTGGTTTCATTTGCAGAATAAAAAAAGAATAAAGGCAATTAAGAACATTCTATGTATCGTTAAGCATTCTAAATAATATTAAACCAGAAAAATTAGGTAAGATTTTGTTGTTGTTATTGCAAGGATTGAATCCACGAGTGCTTAACTGCTGAGCCACATTTCCAGTCCTTTTCATTTTTTGTTTTGAGACAGCATTTCCCTAAGTTACCTAGGGCCTCACTAAATAGCTGAGGCTGGTTTTGAACTCATAATCCTCCTGTCTTAGCCTCCCGAGTCACTGGGATTACAGGTGTGCACCATGGTGCCCAGCAAGATGAAATTTTTAAATTCATTTTCTGAGCGCAGTTTAATATATTCATACTTTTGCTTTGTACTATATATCAAGATGAAGTATCTGTTCATACTTTGAGATGAAAACCTATGAATGTAAATGAGTTTACATTTCAGAGTTGCTTTCCTTTTTGCACATATTGTCTTAATCGCAATGATGTATTCAAATCTTTTGCTTTTTTTGGGTGGGGGGTACCAAGGATTGAACTCAGGCACTCGACCACTGAGCCACATCCCCAGCCCCAGTCAGTGTTTTATAGTTACCACAAACAAAATGTTTCAATTTTTTTTTCCTTGTGGTACTAGAGATAAAACCCAGGGCCTTACACATGAGAGACAGGTACTGTACCACTGAGCTATGCTGCCATTCCAAAATGTATCAGTTGTAAAGCAATTTATAGTTTAATTGTATACAAATATCTAGTATTTGTTTAGATAAGACACTGGTCAATGTTTCCAAGGAAACAAAGGGCTTTAGAAGTGTTATTGTATATGTACATGTGTGTGTGTAGTAATTTTCATGGAAGAGTTCTCTTTCTAAAATAACACTAAGTAAAAGAGAACTTTATTAACCTATTGTTTTCAAAAACATAAATCCTTACCTTAGAATCCAGTAATATTATAATTGCCAACCCTTTCCACTATGCTTAGAAACAGAATTATTATATTTGTTACATATGGATTTTTTTTTTCTTTTAGCAGAACAGTGATCAAAAAACATTTGATTTTTGGAAGGATATAGTCGCTGGTATACAACACAATTTTAAAATGTCAGCTTTTAAGGGTAAGTAACAAAGAGAGGCTTTCTGATACATGTTTGTTAAATACTGTGTGACTACTGAATTAGATAGAAGTTGTCCCTTTTCCTATGCTCCTTAGTGAGGATTTAATTTGATCTTAAATATTGCTGTGAAGTTAGTTCTAGTTTTAAGAGGTTCTTTTATTTATGTCTGTTTCTTGGTCATAATTGCCAATATTCAAGTATCTTTCACATGCCTGCCAGTATTGTGCTAAAATGAAGGTGCTTTCATTATGCTGTTCTTTTACATTGAGTTGTTCCATGCATTCCCTAGAACTAAATATTCCAGTTTTGCTGTGTTCTGGCTTGGGAGTGAGGGTTGGTAATGCCTGCAACCTTTAACATAGTAGTTATAGATGGGTGGGCAAAGTATCTGCCAGTGGAAATTCCATACTTGTTGCTTAAGGAACAGTAGTGGTGGGGCCAGAATGGGGTTTGGCCAGCCTTGAGCCTAGGGTTTTATGTTTTCATTTGAACATTTGCTCATGTTACACAAAGACTAATTCTAAGGAATAAATAGATGACTTCATCCCAGTGACTAGAAACAGACTGCCCTGATTCAACTAGTGGGCTGATGGATGCTGAAGAGCAGTGTTTTTCATCTTAAAACCCTTGCCTTTGGATTGACATTTAAAAATTCCTTGCCTTCCTTTCAATATAAATCAAGCCATCAAAATAATTTTAAGTATTATGACTAAAACACATGCCAAGGCAATAAATAGTAATTGCAGAATATTTTTTCAAATTATGTATTTCTCTGACACCTGTTACTTTGCCTCCCAGAAAAGAACCTCTACCTTGGGGTGACTTTTGTCACTTCTCTGTGCCCACTTATTAGCCCTTGACCCTGGCTTCTAGGCCTCACGTGGTTTTTATGGGTGCCTCTTCTCAGTCCACATTGAGTTCCAGTGATATGGAATGCCCATCTTCAGTAGAGGGACATAATTGATAACAATCATAAAAGCTGCGTACCACTTTATTGTTTTTCTCTTCATTAACTTTGTAAAATGAATAGCCTTAAAAGCATGGATGAAATAGCAAATTGTTACTTTCAAGTAAATTCAGCATAAAAATCTTTTAATGTTATTTTATTGCTTTGTAAATGAGTAGATTAAATATTTCGTGCTTTAGTGACGCACAGCTTAAAAGTTTTAAACAATAATATAAAAATACAGTACAGAGCATAAATAAATAATGTCTTTTCATTTCTAACAGATTTTGAAATGCTTGACATTAATTATAATTTCACCAGAATAAGAAGCACAAGATCCATTTGCCAATGTTATTTAAACCCACACAATGATATTACATAAGACTCAGTTAAGGGATCAAATCAAATCAATTGCTTGTGTTAAATAAATAAGAATAGGTCAGACACCTGTTCCAGGTTTTACTGGATATTTAAAAAGCTCTTTTGCAATCCCAAAAAAGTTTGAAAAGTTCATAACGAAAGCACCTTCATTTTAGCACAATATTTTGATTTCTTATGAGAGCTTCAAAAAAAGCATACATGCACCTATATATTTGAATCAATCTTAATGAAAGGGGCCATATAAGCCTTATATTAATGCACCATCTGAAATAGCTTAGGGTATACAGTGTCTTGAATTTCAATATTCAAGTATTTAAGTTCTATTAAGTTATGTGATACTTCCCAAATGTTTCCTAAAAGCTCTCATATTAGTTGTTAGCATTTCTGAAACCAAATATAATGTAATTTAGAAGCCTATTTCTGGGTATTTATGTGTGATAATTTGTGTTAACTTAGCAGAAATTTTTAAATATTGAAGGAGTTTACAGAAAATCTCTTAAGAGGCTTAGGATTGCTGACTAGAAACTCATGAGGATCTTCACATATTTACCATTGCTGCTTATATTTACCAGGGGAAAATTAGTTGGTCTAAAAATTCAAATGTGTATTTTGGAAAATTAAAATTGTATTATTTTCAGTCTACCTCTGTATGCGTTTTATGGGGTGGGATGGAGTTGGGGAACACTTTTCCAAGCAGAAGATTTAGTTAGCTCCATGAGAATGTGCTCACATGGGAGCCACTAAGAATCCTGAGAAGGAGGAATGGACATACTCAGAGGAGTACAGGCCATTTGACTCAGCATTAGGCAGCTGGAGCCACACCTGGTCATTTTCTGTGAGATCGATTATGGCACTCCCTGAAGCCTGATCCAGGTAGCCTTTGGTATACTCATCATAGGTGTACATTATGGGGGTGCCATTCTTATATAGACCTACCCAAACATGAGTCCCTTTCACATGCACATGGTAGGAGAAATAGTATATTCCTGGTATCCTACAGGTAAAGATTCCAGTTCTTGGGTCATAATGCTGTTGCCTGTTATACAAAATCTTATCAAATGGGATGGGAGCACCTATTGCTGGATAGGCTTTGGAGAGAATAACAGTAAAAGCAGACACAGGCATTCCTGTTACTCCCTGGTTGGCACTAACAAGAGGCATCCCAGAAAGACTGGGCCTTTGTCCTGCCTTTATAAAGCCCTCAGGCATGACTGCTTGGCCTGGGGGCCCGGGGGGTCCTGGAGGCCCTGGGAGACCAGGCTGTCCATCATGGCCTCTTGGACCTGGAGGCCCTGGTGGTCCAGTGGGTCCATTGAGGCCCTTAGTTGCTATGCCAGCTGGACCAGGAGGACCTGGATTTCCAGGATCACCTTTAGATCCAGGGAATCCTGGGATACCTGGTGGCCCAATGGGGCCTCTGGTACCTGGTATTCCAGGAGCCCCTCTTGGACCAGCCTCACCATTGTGTCCAGGCACTCCCTTAGCTCCTGCTGGGCCTACAGGGCCTGGAAGACCAGGAGGTCCTACCACTCCAGGGTCACCTTTTGGGCCTGGTAACCCTGGATTACCCTTGGGACCACTGAGACCTGGTTCTCCTGGGTACCCTGGTTTTCCATCTAAGCCGGGAGAACCCCTTGTTCCTCTGGCTCCAGGTTGTCCTGCAGGCCCAACTGGCCCTGTCTCACCCTTAGGGCCTGGGAGACCATGGTTGCCTGGGATGCCTTTTGGTCCTTGGGGTCCCATATTTCCAGGAGGTCCAGTCAGACCTGGCTCCCCAGGATGACCTGCTGGCCCTTGTTCCCCTTTGGCACCTGGACCCCCTGGAAGGCCAGCAGGTCCTCTTTGTCCCTTCATACCAGGTAAACCAGGTTTCCCAAAACCTGGAGCTCCCGGTGGCCCAGCTATTCCTGGAGCTCCAGGGTGACCTTTTGCCCCCGGAATCCCTGGCTGACCTGGAGCCCCAGCAGCTCCTGGCTTTCCAATGCCTTCTGGTCCTCGTTCTCCAGGAGGACCTTGGGGACCTGGTGGGCCAGCCAGTCCCCTTTCTCCTGGAAAACCCCGATCACCTTTGATGCCTGGCTGTCCTGGAAACCCATTTTCACCTCTTTTTCCTACTCCAGGAGGGCCAGGTGGTCCCATGGGACCCTGAGGGCCTGGAAGGCCCCTCTCACCTGGGCGGCCAGGAGCACCATACCCTGTTTCTCCTTTCGGTCCATTTACACCAGGGACTCCAGGCACACCCTTTTCTCCAGGAAAGCCCCTGGGTCCTGGGGCACCTACAGGTCCTTGTTGTCCAGGTTTTCCTGGCACAGAAATTCCAGCTGGGCCAGGGATTCCAGGAGGCCCTGGTGGTCCCCGTGGTCCTGGTAAACCAGCTGGTCCAACTTCTCCTTTTGGTCCATATGGTCCTCTCTCCCCTGGTTTTCCTGGGAGTCCTGGCACACCTGGTTTCCCGGTAGCTGATGGTCCTGGTGGTCCTGGCAACCCTGGCTCTCCCTGGAGTCCAGGACTTCCATAGCCTGGTTTTCCTGGTGGTCCAGAAGGACCTGGGTGCCCTCGAGGTCCTGCAGGGCCTGGTGGGCCAGGAATACCTTGCTCCCCTCTTACTGCTACACCTAAAAGACACACCAATATACCACCCAGAGAGGGGGATGATTAGTAACGTTAAAGTTGATCAGTGTTTCTCAAAATGTCTAACAGGACAGGGCGGTGTGGTGTCATTCATTACATACTAGTCTTAGACCAAGCTTAAATAGGTCTGGATGATTCATTTTACAGTGTTTTAAAATTACTGCTAAAGAGAGAGTTTTCCATGGCTACCACTTTCTTCATAACCTGATGATCTAAGATAAGTTGACATTGAAGATTTCTTCAGAATAAGAGTAAAGTGGACAATTTTTCACATTTATTTTGGAAAAATCATCTACATAGGTAAGAAAAAAAGATATTTGACAGAAAAGGAAGAGAAAGACAAGTGGAGAATAAATAAGAAAAATTTATAGAGCTGTAAAGATTTTCCCTCAAAAAAGCTATCCTGGAAGACATAAATGAGTAATGGAATTAATTCTAATTTACATCTGCCACACCCTGCTGAATACTTCAGATTTAGGCTGATTTTTTTTTAAACTTCAGAATATATTGTGGTTTTTTTATTCTTTTCCTTATTGACTTAAAATTGAAACAAAGAATTAGTTAATCAGATATAATGGGTGAGTATATAAAATAGGATTAAAGTGTTTATCTAAGTGCAAATTAATGTTGTTTGATTTTATAAAGCTATGGGTTTAACTGAACTACTTCTGATGGGCTAAACTTAAACTCAGTGATCACTTATTTAGTACCTGTGATGTGAAAAGGCCACAAATGTGGGAAAGCACAAGTTGTGTCCTGTGGAGGATTCAATCCTAGAGTGAAATGAGTGACTACATAACAAGAGCTTTTAAGAGGTATCCCAGGCTATTTTGGTTGCTCAAAGGTGGGTTGTAGCAGGGCACTGCAGGCATTAGGGAAGTGTTACCACTTTAGTCTTTTGACATTAATCTTCATAATCATCTACATAAAATTTTCTTCTTTTATCAGGGAAATTCTTTAATAGTTAGCCAAGATGACATAAAGTTGCATGTGATTTTTAATATTTACTATAGAATTTGTATTAAAGTTGTTTTCTGTTTATGTTCAGAAGCATAAGATGCCTACTTACTATTTAGATTCTTAGGTTGTTGAAAAACTGTTCATAGTAATATTGACTTAATGATGTAATAGTAGTTGGATAGGTTGCTTAAATCCTGAAAATCATTTATGGCCTGACTTTTTTTTTTTTTTTTTTTTTTTTGGCAATGTGGAGTATTAAATCCAGGGCCTCATGTGTGCTGAGCAAGTGCTCTACCACTGAGCTAATAAGTCCCTAGTCCTATAGCTGTGACTTTTGAGTCACATTTGTTTAAAAAAAAAAATAGTGGACTTAAATCCTACATCTTTAATAGCTTAAAAATTGAAAATGCAGGCTAAAATAGAATTATTATCAAATGAATTGAAAAGAATTTTAAATTGCCTTTGAAAGCATTTTGGAGTATTAATTCCCTTGAATCATTAGCTGTCAGTACATAAACATATTAAAATTGAAAAAAAAAACCTCTCGTATTAATTGACTGCTATATAAGAAATAGTTAGCCAAGAGTAGGTACTTATTTCTATTAGGTAGAGCTGTAGAGGTCTTCCTGAGATTTAAAAAGCATTTGACCTATATAAAATATAGAACAAATAATTGAACTAAATATGCTGAAATAGGAAGATATTTGTTTTAGATTTAGGAACTTTTGTATTTGTATTAATTAGTTATATTTCAGTTTTCAGACATTCAAACATATAGCTTTTCCCATGGAATTTCAGAAACTTACAATAGGAAAAAGATTAATATGAGAAATTAATTTATGGACATTTCCATATATTAACACACATTTCATTCACTGACTTTAGTACATGTTCATGATGCATCTATATGTAAAACTGGATTTAGTATATTACAAGTAGAATAGGTGAATAAGTAAGGGATTTGTTAATGGTTTGGAATAAAATAGCATTTTTAATGCAGACTATATTAGTTAGGGGTTTGCTTCAGAATCTGGCTATAAGGATCATGTTCATACTGAAATAATTGTCCAACTAGAAATCTGTTGCACTGCTAAAAGAGGTAAAACATATCATATCTTATTGAAAATGATCGTATTGGGCACCTTTTAAGGCCAGAAATCCAATAACAGGGTGATTTGTGTTACTTGAAATGTTGCCCTAATGGTTCTAAACCTCTTGGTGTAAGAAAGAATTTGACTTCTATTGAATCTCTGGAGCCCCTGTTTGTAGCTTACAAGCTGAAAAAACAAGATTAGGGTGGCACCATCCTTAAGGAAAAGTGACAACCTACTAATAAGTTTCTTAAGTGTCCACAAACTGGAATAGTGGTTGGTTGTGTCAGAATGTGTTACCTGTGTCTGCCTAGCAGCTGTAGAATCCTCTGCAGCATGATTTAGTAGTGTTTTAATGGGATCCTCTTTTAGTCTGTGCTGAACATATGTGCCTAGGAATTACATATGAATTCTGAATTTCTGTTATCAGCTTAACATTTTCTTGTAATGCATTAGTGCCTGCCGTGTGGATGATGATACGTTTGATTTTCTGTCTTATGTTATCAAGAAGAGACCAAGGAGGATTTAATGTTAAAGGATAGCTTCTGAAATTCTTATTTAACAAGATGTTTTAATTTGTTCTACAAAAATAGCCAGGATGTTCAAGTACATTAAGGTGGGAAGATAAAAATAGGTTTAACTTTCTACAATGGTGCATTTTATTTTTAATTCAAGATTGTTTATTATGATTTTGGTAAGGTATTTAGAAGTCTGAATTTGTGATCAGAGAGTACTGAAACCATTGTTGCCTGTCATAGCATTTCACATCACATTTGTTGCTTCAAGTGAGGTAGCATGTTCCTTACCTTTTACTCTTTCTTTCCTGGCTTTTTCTTTCTCTTAATTTATTTATATTTTAATACATTCAATAATATCTGTTGTGCCTCTGTTTTTAAATATTAGGCTTCCTTTCATGAAACACTCGGTTTCATCTTTCTTCTCAACAAGACCATTTGCTTAAATTGGTTGTTCCCCAAAACATATTATTTAAAGTTTATTACAAATGGCTTTAGCTTTATGTACAGGACAGAGTATATAACTAAAATGAAAAAAATATTGTGGAAAGGGAACCTGAAGCCTGCAATCAGTTTATATTGCCCAGTTGATGTTTTCTAGGCAGTTTATATTAGATGCTGTCGAGTAGAATTAGTGAGGATAAGGCCTTGTCATTGCTCTTTGAGGATTTCTTAGTATTTTATATATATGTATATATATTATCTCATTGCTCTTCCCAGTAGCAGAGAAAGCCATACAGATGAGGAATAGATTTAAGAGGAAAGTTAAAATTTATCTAAGACTATGCCAGTAAAGTAGTATTCAGAACTAGAAGTACTACTAGTAGTTTATTAGTATTGTAGTAATAGTGAAACATAAGGCACCTGACAGGTATTAACTCTTGATAACCTTCATGGCAGCCCTTAGAGATCAGTCGCTCCTTCTTGTTTTACAAATGAAGAAACTAAGGCATAGGGAGGAAAAATAACTTACCTGAGGTCACACAGCTAGTACTGTGCATTTAACCACTAAACTATATGGGATATATAAATAGCTATGAGGATTGCTACTTCCTTTGCCTGTTTAGCTTATTGAAACTTATTGTGTATATTTGTAGACTAGTTGAATGTGTTTTAAAAGTAAATGTGTGGTTAGAACTGTTACTCAGTGGTTGAGCGCTTGCCTAGCATGCCTGAGGCACTGGGTTCGATCTTCAGCACCACATAAAAGTAAATAAATGAAATAAAGGTATTATGTCCATTTACAACTAAAAAACATTAAATAAAAAAAGTAAATGTGTGTAAGTATTTAGATATATTAGCCTTCTATTCTCTTTGTGTAACTATTTTTAAATATTTTAAATTTAACTACTTTTGGTTGAATTATTATATTTGGATTATGGATAGTTATTTGTACAAAAGTATCATTCTAGGGAAAAAAACTTCATATTAAAAGTCCTTAATATTTTTCTGTTATATTTATTATATTTATTGTACAAGGAGTTTTATTCTTCATCCACAAATTATTTTGTTGTAATTTGGACTAATTTAGGAATTTTCAATAGATAATACCAGAGTTGAAAGCTTTTTGTTAAAGACATCATCTTTAAGATTGTAGAAAGCAACAGCCAGCTAGCTACTAGAGCAAAATATGCAATTCAGTTTACCTTTACTCTTTATGGTGTAGGGAATGAAGAACTGGGTCTTGGTGTTGGGTGGTGGGCCTTTTATGCCAGTGGGTGTTTGGTATCGCTCAGCATAAAACACTCCATGAACCAAATTCAAGGACATTAGCAGCAAAAGGGTGATTTGTGGCAGCATATTCTCAGGTGGATTCTGGAAAACAGAAAAGAATTATTTCATATAGCTTTGTATTGACCTGTTTCATTTTTCTAACATTGCACAGTTGGAATTCTTTATTTAACTAACTGCTTTTTAACACAGTCCTTTATAAAAATTTCAATATATTCCATAAATTAATGAGAGATATTTAGTTCGGTGAATGTATATCATAGTTATTTGGGGAAGCTATATTCAAGTAATCAAGTAAAAATAAAGTGATTTACAAATAAACATAAATAAATCATCACTAGACAACTATATTAAGTCATTCTGGATCTTAAACATATCCTGAAATATCTAGTAGTTTCTAAATACATTGAAATTCAGATTAGGATAAGTTTGTACAGTATGGTTTTCATTAAGATTATTTTATATAGACTTATATTTTATATATTTTATATACAAGTAAACCTCTCTGAGTACATTTTAGTAGAAAGCTATTTTTTTTTTAAATAATGCACAAGGACCCCAAAGAATTAACTTACTTCAGTATTAACTTGCTTCTTTTCAAGCAAGCTAACATGGAATTTTACAATGACTCTCAGTCCATAGACTTACCTGGGTGCTGGCAGTTCTGGAGCTAGTGTCTAGGTGGCTTTGTGAAGCCTTCTCTGCTCAGGTAGGCAGTGCAGAAGATGCCCTCTCCAGAGTTGCCCTTAGGTATTTATACAGTCTTCCCCTCACTGCCTGAGGTTACTCTGAGCTTAAGCCCCTCCCCTCAGAGGTGGGAAACACTAATTATGGTGGAAAGTTCTATTAGGCAGGCATACAAAATCAGGTTGGTCTCTATTTTTTCTTGTTTTCTTATTGAAAAATAAACTCTTTGTCTTAAATATATATTAATAGTTTTTACCATACCCATTTTTCTGTAATTTTATTTTAGAAATTTTTACTCTAATGTTAGTTCATGTTGGAATGATGATTCCCCCTTATTATTTTTGAAAAGCATATTATTGTGTTGTTTGTTTGAAAATATTTGGTAATATATAAAAATAGGGGAAGAACTCTTTTGGAGAAGGATGTGGATTTAAACCATCATCTAAATTCTTGAATTATTATATAAAGCCACCAATGTGTCCATTAATGTTCCTAAATTTTTATAAACATAGCTTAGCTCAATTCTTATATATTTATGGGCTTGAGAGAAAAAAAATAAAATGGTGAAATTGTGGGTATGCTGTTTTGCATTTCAGGCTTTTAGTGTAAGTCTTCAGAAGTTAGTAAAAGAAATTTAAAGTGATAACATTAAAATTTTTGAATTTCTTCATTTTAAATATTTAAAAATTTTCAGATAAATGCAGGATATTTGTGAATTTGCTAGTAGAGTTAGCAATATATTCTTTCTGAAGAATTTAGATTCTTTATTCCCAATAATACACTTTGTTCTGGATATGGCCTCAGATATTCTTGCTTAAATTTGGATTTTACTTTAGAGTTGGAGTAAAGTTTGCAAGAGCCCTTAACTTATATTATGTTTATTTAATCTCATATTATGTTTATTTACATAGGGCTGCTGTGTTCATTTCAGAAATAAAAAAAAATCCTCAGACTTTGTTTTTAGCTTTTTAAAAATACTCTTGGCTTACATCGCAATTTCCTTCAGGGATCTTGTATCATCTCAATTAAAAACATTTTTCCCCCAAAGGTGGAAATAAACATCATCATTATCAACTTTACTAGTTAGTATTCTCTTTAACAATATTAGAGACTCTTAAAATCAGTTTTCAGGATCCTACAACATCTAATAAAGACAGGAAGTTCAGAGACCAAATTTAGCATCTTATTTAATTTTGTCATTTTGGATCCAAGACCAGTCAACTTTACAGATAAATGAGATAAGAAGAAAAATTCCAGATACAGAATAGATAATTTTTGGTATCCCCCTAGAATTGAAGTAGTGTGGTTGAGGATTGATGTGTGATTGAAATAATGGTTTTTCCCTCTTCCTTTTCCCTCACTCCTCCCCTGCAGGCAGTTTCCTGTGGTATTTAAATAAAGCCTTATATACTACTTTGCAAAAATGTAAATACAAAACTCATTCACAGTGTCCTCTCTTTCTTTTCTCACTTAAACATTTGTTGATTGCACATTAAAAAATCTACATTGTCATGCATGTCTTTATGCAATATGCAGATATACATGAAATATGGCTTTGGGGGGGCGGGTACTAGGGATTGAACTCAGGGGCACTTGACCTCTGAGCCACATCCCCAGGCCTATTTTGTATTTTATTTGGAGATAGGGTCTCACTGAGTTGCTTAGCACCTCACTTTTGCTCAGGCTAGCTTTGAACTTGCAATCCTCCTGCCTCAGCCTCCCGGGATTATAGGCATGCACCATCACGCCTGGCTGAAATATGGCTTTTATATCAATTTAGATTATTGGCAGTTGGATAGTTTATTTTAATCAGTCTCATCATTTGGCAGTTATATGGAATGGTTTTTTAATTATATGAACTCGGCTACATCTGTAAGAAACTACAAAAGATAAGTGAAAGAAAACAGCTGTCTTCTGTTTGTTTACGGTTTATTTGGACAAGATTTGACAAAGTAGATAAGATTATAAGGTGCTTTTCAGAGCTAGGCTGAAGAATTTGTTTTGAAAGGAATTATTAGAAATGTGTGCATATTTTAGTATTTTGTGCGTATATATGGTTTAGTGCACACACAGAGGCACGTTTTTATAATACTATTTGATATTATTCCTGTGAACATTTAGAAGATGGATTCCCAGCCCTACATACCTAGCACTTTGCACCTGTGTAGACCATTTGTTCACTGTGGTACTCTATTTTCAGAACTTTATACCTTAAACTTTCTTGATGTCTGTCTCTTCATTAACAAATAGAAGTTTGAACGAGGTGGTGTCTAAGCTCCTTTAGGATTTAAAATTGGATTTTTCTTGCATTCAAGTATTTGTTCCCTGTGGTCATATGGTAGACTTGGCTCTCTTTCGATTGACTTTAGATTTGCAACAAAAAGAAAAAAAAATCATACTAGGTGGTTGTATGTTTTGGGGATATGTAAATATATGTGGGTATTTGTCATTCTATATTCCCCTTTAGCTTTGGGAAATGTGGTGTCTTCGTTGGTAAGCCTTGGACGTTCAACCCTTTTTACAAATAGTGTATTTATTTCAGCACACAGAATCTGACTACTGTTTGCTTTGTTAGTCACATAAGAAGCACTTCTTGTGCAAAACAGATTGTAGAATCAGAATATTTACTAGCCACACCCCACCCAATTGTGTATTTAAAACTATTTTTATTCTTGGTGTTTACTTGGAGCTGTAAGAAGTGACTAGTCTGTGGCTTTATGAAGGAAACTCATTCCATTGAAAGAGTCTTGCTTTGTAAAACCAATTTTCTGAGTGATTTTTAAATCAACTATGAGTGATATTTTTGCACATTGAGCATTTACCTGCTATTAAGTGTGTCTGCTCATTTGTATATCCCTAGGTCATTCATGAGTTCACCAAATATTTCTTGAGTACCTCTTAAGTGTCAGGCATTGGGATAAATATTGGATGAATAGTGTGTATGCCCTAAGGTGTTTACACAATGTTCTCAACCTCTTTTTCCCATTCTCGCAGTCCTGAGGAGTATGACACAATTTGTTCAATCTTTGGGGTTCATGAAGATAGTAGTGGTTCAGAAACTCAATTTTGCAAAGACTCCTTAGGCAATCATGATCTACTCCTAATGTTGGGATGTTGTTATGGTATAATTACCAGATTATTAATATTAGTTATTTACCTTTTTGTTGTTTGTGCTCATTTTTTAAACTTTATTATAGGAAATTTTGGTCTTACCTACAAGTGAGGATAGTGCATATAATGAATGCCTGTGTTCCAGTCAATCATTTTAAACTAATCTCAACTCAGTCTACCTTCTATTCATCCCCTCTCAAATTTTGAAACAAATTGCTTATGTTATACTGATTCACCAGTGGATATTTCAATATATTTCTCCAGAGACTAAAAATGCCTTTTCTTTAAAATAGAATATTCATTATATCTAAAAAATTAATCATTTTCTAATATCATCAATGCTTTAGTCCATCACATTTCCCCAGTTATCTGTTGTACGTATGGCATATACCTATATAGACTTATAGACATGTATATATACACAAACATATACATAGATATGTACATGTATATTATATACATATACACATATATATTTTTAAAGAATCGATTTATTGGGCTGGGAGTATAGCTCAGTTGGTAAGAGTGCTTGCCTTGTATTCACAAAGCCCTAGGTTCAGTCCCCAGCACTATAAGAAAAAAAAAAAAGAATTGATTTGTTATTTGTTTAAATCAGGTTTCCTTAATTGCCATTGACTGATATGTCCCCTTCATCTAGGTTTCTTACCTGCATCTCTTTTTTTTCCCCCCTTTGCAACTTATTTGTTGAAAAGCTGGGTTATCTGTCTTGTGCAATTTCCTGCAATCTGGATATTATTATTTAATTTGCTCCTCTGCTGATTGATAGTTAGACATACAATGTTGCTCTCATTCAGGTTTGAAACACACATACACATACACACACAAATGCTTTTGGCAAGAATATTTTACCAATTTAGAGAGTGTGGTTTGGTATATTTCTATTGGGAGGCCCTTTGTTGCTGGTTCTCTGGTGTTACTAAGTCTAATTACTTATACTTATTATAAGTTATAAGATGGTGATATTCTAATTTTATCATTCTTCCTTTTTTGTTTCTATTAAAAAAACACTCTGTTCAACTATGGTTATCCTGAGTTATAATATATATGGTTATCCTGAGTTACAGTGTGTGTGTGTGTGTGTGTGTGTGTGTGTGAGAGAGAGAGAGAGAGAGAGAGAAAATATATATATTCAGATGTTTTTCCCCATCTTTGGCCAGTAAGAGCCTCTTCAGATTGCTCCTGAGCACTTTTGACATGATCCCAGTAATTTTTATAACTTCTTTTCTTCCAGTATTTTGTACTTTTCCTGGCCCAGATCTGTAGTA